CTTTAAAACACACATCTCAAAAACTCATTGCAAGACACAATAGCATTTAGGACACTGAGGTAGTTATCAGTGGAGCTGCTGTTTTTTCAAGAAAAGGAAAAAGAAAAACAATATAAAACCTCTCATCATCACCACCTTTTCCAGTAGGACTACGCAATGAAATCCCTGTAAGGAGATGGAAAAATTTCCAGCCACATCCAGAAAACTTCCAGTACTTGAAGGAGGAGGAAAAAGGAGAGCTTGTCAGGACCTGCTATGAATGCAGAGCACTCTTTAGTTTATGAACTAGTTCATATCTGCATAAGAAGTTTACATAAAACCCGATTTCCTTTGCTGAACTGCTCAGACCACATTGATATTCCCCCCGCGCCAACCTCCGCTCTTTGCTTTTCTCCACTAAGTGACTTTAGAAAAAGAGGTGCAGGAGCAGCCAAAATAAACATAACCCTTACCACACACACTGAACAATGATGTACTGGGGGAAAAACCAACAACTTCCCTTGGATCACTTCCCTAGAGTGCCAAACACTGACTCTGACAGACCCTACCTCTGACAAGGGCTTATTCCTACATTTGGTAGAATTTCAAAGTTTAAAGCAGCTTTATGAGGAAAAGTTTTCAAACACTTTGCAAACATCATCCTTTTGCTGTACATCTACTGTGTTTTCAATTTCAGTTTTACTTATTGCAGCAAGATGTTGCTATCTTGTTTCATTTACAGGCACACATATTAGGATGCAATCATCTGCAACATACCTTTAAAAACTGGAAAGGATTGTAACAGCAAAACAACAATAATACCAAGCAGATTGGGAGCTGAAAGTCTTGGGCTTGATATCCAGCTCTTTGGTCAATTCTCATCATTGCAGACAGATTTCCTCTTATCATCCTTCAATTTATGCAGTTTTCTCAGACTTAATATGCTTATATTGGTGATAATATTCGTGTAGAGCTGAAATCTCAGCTCCTGGTTTGTGAGCACATATAAACTGCAAAACGAAAGCTAAAAAACCCAGGTATTCCTGTGATAAAAGAGTTAAAAGCACCCTGAAAATGTTCGGATGACTTCAGCTGAAATAAAAAGAGTGCTCTGTGCTGCTCCAGCTGCTGATGGCTCTGCGGGACTATTTAAATCTTGTATTTTTCACAGCACCAGGATAGTGATCAGAACATGCTTCTCCAGCTCTCTAGATTCACCACTTTGAAATGAAAGTCAAAAATCTACAGGAGGCAGCAATAAAACGAATTATTTTAAATTACCCATTGTTACTGTACCTGGTCGGGGAATAGAGCCAAGCTGTGCAAGAAATGCTGTCACAGGAAACCCTTGCTATTATCATTCAAAAGGAGCCAAAAAGGGACCCAGTGATGTTCTGTGAGTAACTGTCCAGAGAGCAAACCTCGATTTGCAGGGCTGAGGTCATCCAACACCAAGGGGAGAGGATTTCACAGTGCACCTTCAGAACTGCCACTTTTTGTTAGAGAACCCCCCACTTAATAACTGCAGCTGATTACTGCGTTCATTAGCATTTATTCAGAGTCCTGCTCAAAAACACAACCCTGAAAGAAAACTGTTCATGTAGCCTAGCTGGGTACACCTGGTGGCCAAGAAGCAAGAAAGACATTTGAGACTGAAATTGGCTTTCTGGGACACTCCTTTCTCAATTCCCAGTGCTCCAAGCAAGCACACCAGGACCTTTATGTAGGTTCTTGATATTTTCCCATCACCTTTCTCAGCAAAAAAGTAGTAGCTGCTTCTTTTAGGTCTGGTCTGTAAATATTTCATGAGACTACATATATATTGATCTAAAAATCAACATCAGAACACAAGAACAAACCCTAAGGAACACACACTCGGAGCTGATCCAAAGCCCAGATTAATTACAGAGGGAACCTGAACTTGCTGGGAACTGCTTTAAGAAATAATCTGCTTTTAGAAATAATGCAGTTGCTTAATAATATGTTTATATGAAATAAATAAATATAATGAAACCAGTTTTAAAATGTTTAAATTATGTTGATAAACAGCACATAAGGGAGCCCTGAAAAAAACCCAAATTTTTTAGAATGTTTTATTAATAATGCTCATATGACTCCTCTCATTCTTGCTCACTCACTTGTGCCTCTCAAGAACAAGCTGCCTGAACTTGAACTTCTCACTTCAGCCCTCTCCTCTGTGGGCCAGAGGCAAGCATGGATTACAGACACTTAGCAAGCCAGCAAAGCTGCTGCCATCATCTAGCAACACAACACGGTGTAAAATCAATTACAACTCACGTACAACGTCATCAAATTAAAATGTACAGTAATTGCATCTTGTGGGGCTTATATTGTCACGTTCTCCAGCAAACACAGTACTTTGTTCATGGGAAGACTGAAAACAACAACTCGTGTGAAGGGAACGGATCTCGATTCTAAAAGCAAAAAACCCAGCAATGACAGAACACTAAAAAAACCCTAAACCACCACAAAAGTGCGAGGTGCTCCGGGTGAGTTTCAGCCTTTCTGAAGGGCTCTCAGCACTGCCTGAACCAATCTAAGTCTGGCAGCCACAGCCCCATCGTTCAGAGCTTTGCTCTTTTCACCTGTCACACCCCGGCTGCAGGAATGGGGCTCTGAACCATTGCCAGCAGCAGCGAAACAGCCACGGAACGGAACCAAGAGTTAATTTATTCTCTGGGCTTACTGCACTTGGTGCAAAACAGAAACGCTGTGACGGCAGAGTGACCTTATATTTACTGACTGACCAGATGGCGAGAATTAGGGACTTATGTAAGCCCCAAGCCTCCTTCTCCATCTGACAGCTGCTGGGGGAAATCAAATAAAGGGCTCTGCACAGTCTTTAGGGCTCCAGCCTCATCATCACAGCACCATTAGAAGAAAATGCTGCAGGGAAAGGCAAGGAGGGAAACCCTGGATCCTCAAAACCATTTTTTTTTTTTTTTTTCCACAGGAGAACTGAAGCCATGGGTACAGCACAGCAAGGTTTGTGCACCTGCTGCCCAGGCCGTATCTCCTTTGCTAATGAATAAGTGAAGCCAGCCTCCAGGGCTGTCAATCTGGCATCTTTAGTAATTCACACAAGCCTCAAAGTTCTCTAAAAATAAATAGCATGAAAAGGAACCTAAGTTGTCTCACTAGCAGTGGTTTTGACAGGTATCTTGAGTAATGTTAATCTTTGCACCTTTCTTTTCTTAAAAACTACCAGTTGAATCACCAATTTGGGGCAGTTTCTGAAAGCAAGCACACATAAAAATTAAGGTTGATGGCAGCTGTAAAAATGAAACTGCATTTCATTACATGAAAGTGCATGTGTTTGTATGTGTGACCAGAATTTTTTTTTTTAAACAATTACTGTGCAACCTTAATTCTTGTCCCACTTCCATTAATGCAAATCAAGAGGAATTCCATTTGACTAAGCTCATTTAGGCTAATGGAGAAAAGGCCTGAATTAAACCAGAATCACAGTCACAGTTCCCAAAAGACCTGGATAAAATATAAGGTGCTTGAAAATATTTTCCATCAGTTTTATTCACAGATTATATTGGCAGAAGTGAAATACCTCCTTACATACAGCACAAAAAATAAGATTGGAGTTAGACTGGACAGCCTTCTGAGCAGCAAACCCCTGTAACCACAAGTCAGGTCTTGAATGAAGAAAGAGAGAAAGAAACAATACCAATTCTTTCATTACCATGCCTGAAATGGTGTTAAGACCTGTACAGCACTGAATATTCCTGGTGCTTTATTCAATATAAAAATCTGGATCAAATCTGGATCAAAATCTAATTTGCTGCCATATGTTTCCTGGATAGTTTCTACATAATTATTAACATACAGGGGAAAAAACCAAAAAAAAAAGGCAGTGGAATAAAAATTCTCTGTGAACTAAACCTGCTCCAGCATTAATGGAGTTATTCCCTATTAAATATGGAAATCTGAGATACACATTTGAACCCCTGGATTACATGTGTGCATGCATACATAGAATAACTTCATGGGAAAAATAACAACATCTTGTCACTGACTAGAAAGTTACCACTCCAGCTCTCAGAAAACCTTTTGCAAATTTTAAAATAGTTTCAGGATTCTTGCAAAACAAAAAATAGACACGAAGCTATATCCCTTGTATGCAAAGCATTAGAAAGAGGCTAGGAAGAAACTGGTAAAATCAAGCAAAAGAAAAGCATAGGTTGAATGTCAAGGGAAAAAACCCACTGAATGTTAAGAAGATAAAATAATGGAATAATTCCCCAGAAAGATAATATTTTCTGGGATGTTAAAACAGCCTGTTGAAAGAAAAAAGGACTACTGGGAAAACATTCTTTCTCAAAGCAAAAATTTGACATTAATGTTGCAAAAGAAGGACTAAACAAGATTTATGAAGTACTGTGTTCAGGATTCTACTGAAAATTTAAAATACCTAGGACAGAATACTCTGTTCTTACAGTTAGTCACACAAGTGCCCACAAGGGCTATTTTACATGCATGTGTTGGTGTAACCTCAGCACAACCCACAAAAGGAAAAAAAAAACATAAAGGCAACAAGCTGAAATAAGCCACGAATACTAAACAGAAACAATATCCTTCATCTGCCATGCCCTGCTCACATGCAACAGGCAGGAAATTCGTGCAAAATAGTTGTGCAAAGCCCTTCCTACCCAAACAACATTTGCAGAAGGTTTAACGAAGCCACGGAACAGTAACCCCAACATCCACAGATCACCTTAAATTTAAAGTAACCTTTATTGGCAGCACGGTGCCCAATGCTTACACGATCTTATCAGACCTTTCCTCGCCCTCCTAAATGCAAGCAGTGGGTTGTTGTTGTTTTTTTTTTTTTAATAATGCACTGCAGAGGTGAGTGATGTGGATTTCCTCCTTCCCCCAAGACACACGCAAGGACAAGTCCCCTGGCGTGGACACAGCCGGCAGCAGAACAAGATCCCACACGCAGGGCAAGGATGCCCCAGAGCTCCTGGGAGCACAGGTGTGCTTACCTGGCTGCGCTGCACTCGCTGCACTGGGCTCATTCTCTCCCATGGCCACAAAATTATGAATTCCCCGTTTCAGCCAGGGGACGTGGTTGCTGTGCAAGTCCTGACCTCCTGACTTTCCACTGCGCGGTAACCCTATACCTGCCTTTCTGCTGGGAATAATCAGTCTCCTGCTTCCCGAGCTACCTGGGCCTGCCTGACCTGTTTCTCTATAAACTGACATCATATCCTTTGATCTGCTTTGATTAACATGTGCTCCAGGCAAGGCTGCTTTGTCTGCTCTTGGGCTCTCCTCCTCCTTCGCTCCCCAGCCTCTCCTTTCACTTTCACACGGGCAGAGAGGTGAAGCCTATCTCTGGTTCCTGGCAGGTGCTTGGGACAAAATGCCAAAGGCCACAGAAAGCCTGCAACTGCTTTTAAAGAACCTCAGAATCTGCATTTTGCAGGAAACCTAAACATTAATTATCAAACCAGTGTCTAGGATGGGAAATTTGCAGCTCCCACCGAAGAGAGCAATGATTGCTGCCCGTGCAGAGCCCCTTGGCAAAATCCTTGCCAAGAACCCCAAACCCAACCCACCCTTCCCCTGCCTTTACCAAGGATTCCCCCAAGGAAAATGCTTTCCTTCAACGCTGCAATTTCAATATTGTTTTCCCTGTTTAACAGAAAGGAGTTCTAAACAAAATAAAAGGTTGTTTTGCTTGTCTTATCCTCCCTCTCCAGCACAAGGAGATAATCCTATCCAGCCACACTCCCAGCTGAGTTCCAAGAAAATATTTGCTCTTTTCTGCCACGTAAATCAAATAACAGGTGTCTGATACATTTGTAATCAATTTGTTGAAAAAGTACACCTGTCTCTCTGCCTTCAAAGCTAGTTTTAGTTCAACATTTACATTTGCAACTGCCAACGACAAAAATCAAAGCGAAGACACAGCATTATTTTAAAGGAACAAACAATTGCAACTTAAAAGAGGTAATTAGCTCTCCCCATGTTAATATCCATCTGGGATACAGTCAAAGTGGTCTAATCAATAGCCTTAGAAAAATTTTGCAATCCAGAAGCAATTAAGTACGTTTTTAAAATGAAAATGTATTGTTTATTCTTTTTTTTTGTTTGTTTTGTTTGTTGTTTTTTTAAATAAGTACAGAAACACAGACGGTAAAAAACTAGAAGATGAGTTTTTCAAGATAATTCAGGCTAGGTAAAGCATACTTTTCAAGTAAAATTTCTGAAACTATGCTAATTGAAATAAAAATCTCATTTAGGAGTAAGAACATCTCCACAGGCAGTAACACCCCTCAAAGTAAGTATCACATAAGCCCAAGTAAAAGCTATCTATGTCCTGAGTTTTGCTATAGAAGGTAAATCAGACATCTCCCAAACCTCAGCCATCAGAACAATGAATTCCCAAAGAAGTTCTCACTTGGTTTGCAGAAATGAAGGAGTTTACAAGAAAAAGCTCATGCTTTATTCTTGCCTAATCATTACATTAGTTGGGTTAAATCGACCATTCCACACTCAGAAAAGGCTCTTTACCAAGAAAGCAAAGAGAAGAAAAATGAACACAGGTTTGAAATTAGGCCATTTATTATTTTATTTCTGTTAGCTTAGCTGAGCTATTGCTATGTATTCCCCCGTAATCAGCTCATGGCCCAAAATTTGCAGTCAGTGGTTCCTACAATTCACCAGGCTCATCCATCCTACTGCCACTTACTGCCAATGAGCTGAAGCTGCCCCTGGCCAGCTCAGGGTCAGTGCAAGGGCTGAGACTCCAGCAGACACCTGGGGAATTTCCCCAGCTGCTCTGTGACTTCCAGTTCCCATGCTGAACATCATCTTTGAATTAATTCACTGAGTTTTCACTGGAAAGTACCAGAGAAACATTCCAATGAAACATCCGTTCAGTGGGTGGAGGTTTTCAGCTCAGCTCTAGTGCAGCTTCCTCTGCTTAAGGACAGAGACCAAATGAAGCTATTTTGGTGTGCAGAGAAATGAGTAAGTAAGAACTTTGGTGGCTTTGTGTTTACTTCAAGAGTGAAAAAAACCAAAGTGGTCTTTCCTGAAAGCTTCTGTTAGGGCAGCTACTGGACAACAACTGTGCAAGAGCAGACATTGAGCCTTTATTAAAGGCTCTGTGTCTATTCCTGTTTTTCAACCAGGGCCCTATTAAGAAAAGAGGTACCTAAATTGCACAATCCCTTCCTGGGAACAGCAGAGAAGCACATTCAGAAACTCCTCCATGATCACCAAACTTGGGGAAGTCAAAGATTTGGTGCTCAGCTTCTATAAACAGACAAGTTTGAGTTGTTCCATTTTCAAAAGACATATTTAAGGGAAAAGAGAGATGAGAGAAACATCTAAAGCATTTCTGACCTATTCAAATATGAACTGTCCATCTCTTGAAAGAGAAATCCTTAAATAACCTGTTAGTATTACTTCTAAGCATGTGAAAAATCACAAGGATTAGTTTTTTACCCTCACTACTGTACTCCACGAGGTGCCCCCCCACCCCCATAAAGAGAGCTACTAATTCCAAGAGAAGGGAAGTCTAAGGCAATAAAAATAACTCTTCTCCTTAGCTACTGAGTACCAGCTCTTCCTTCAAGAGTAAGGTTTTGATTTCAGGCTTTTAGCACCTCCAGAAGAATTTTGTAGTTTAAGTTATAGCATTTTCTCACATCACCTTCTGTTAACTCTTAAATATTTTTAAGAATTCAAGAGATGAGAGTGATAGTACTGAAATACTTCTTCCCTTGAAACGAAGCCTGCAAGTGGGAATAGCGCAAAGAGGACGGAAACTCAAGATTTTTCACACTCCCTCTCCCAACAATGACTGACTGTGAGAAGAGGCTTTCTTGCTTTTATGTTCTCCTAGAACAGTTTGTTGTGCTCAGTTGTGTGCAATGGTTTAAATGGAGTGGTTTCCAAAGGAGGAACTCTTAATTCATTCACCCTCTCCAGAAAGACCCAAGTGTGAAAATGCAGTGGCTTTGTTCTGCTCCCCAGAAAAAAAAAAAAAGAAAAAAATAAAATGATTCTGTGTATTTAGTGCACATCAAATACAATATTTCTGAGTCTAAAGAGTGCATTTGACAGCCAGTGAACAGAAACATAATTTGATGATTGTAGTGATCAGGGCTAAAAAAGAGAAAATTCAGTTATTATGTTGTGCATGAAGCATGGCAAGCAGATCACTGCATCATCCTGCTGACACCATGGATGAGTACAAGCCTAAATTCCATGTCATTAGAAACAGAGCACACTCCACCAATAGTGGCAGAGAATATTAATTTTGTCACATTTTCCTAGAGTAGGTCTGCAAAGCTAGAGAGGCCCTCACAACTGAAAGCCTTCAGAAAAGCAAGAGTTTCCTCTATGTGCTGGCCCAAAGGCCTTCAGGACTCAATTTTACTCAAGAATGTTGTTATTTTATAGAATAATGCAAAGAAAGTAATATCACCAAACAATGATACATTATTGGTAACTTGCTTAGCTACACTGGATGCTCTACAAAGGGAACAGAAATACACATTTTGGGTTTTTTCCTAAAGAATATCATTCCAATATTTCCAAAACGTGAATAATGAGACACACTTATTACATATGAAATTGCAGAGATAATAAAAATAATACCTAGAACTGAAACATAAGAACTGTGAGGATGAGAGTTGTTTTACACAATTGCTAAGATGACTCTGATCCAGGCTCTATGAACACTTGCTCCTTGATAACCACACGTTTTAAAGTGTATCACAGGACATAAGCAGTAAAGTTTCTTGCACTGACCACCTGTCTGGCATCATGGGCTGACAGTTCTGACAAGATGATAATAACAAATATTTCACCTTTAACAATGGCAGGAGTGCTGGGAGCAAAGGGACAGTGCCAATCCTGTCTGCCTCACTAAACCAGAGTGGCACAGATTCTGATGTTTGTATGTTGCTGGGTGCTCAGGTTTTCTTGTTGTTAGTGCTGGTTATTTGCTTGTTTTTAACAGCAACATGGCTGTTTCATTTATCTCATGAAAAATGGTACAGCAAAAGGAACAGCATTATTTGGTTTGCCTCTAAATTAAAAGCAGTTGTTTAGGCTACAACCTCAATTAAAACAGGAGATGGGAGGGGAAAAAATATTTTCTTCCACAATTAAAATGGACTAAACACAAAGAAAAGGATAACCAGTCTCAAAACCCACAGAGAAAAAGGTTTTCATTGTCTATGCAAATGATTCACTACAAGATAGAGAGAGTGCCAGCAGCAGAGACCTTGCACAGACAGCACTGAGCAGTGAGAAAAGCCCAGGAAAGACTGACTCCATCATGGATGAGCAGCTCATCCCACATTCCTCCTCTTGTCCAAGTTTTATTTCCAACTCTAACTGTGCTTTTTCACTTTTTCACCAGTTACAAGGATGCTGTGGTACAAAACTTGACACAGATGCAAACATCACCTCTTTGGAACTTAGTGAGAAGCAAAATATATTTGTTCTTATTTATTTCTAAGCATTAATCACAGGCAACTACTAAAGAGACCAGAAAAGGCTCCAAATCACCACTCTGACGGGCAACTCACTGGTGTGGACTGAACAGAATTAAGATTTAGGTCTTCCAGAGCCCAGAGGAAGTGTTTTTACCCTTTGGCCACTTTGCTCCTCTGTGCAACCATCCCCCAGCAGTCTCCTTTTCCAAAAGCACATCCAGCAAAATGACTGACATGTTGTTCAAGCTCTCCCTAATCCCTTGCTGAGTGAGAAAATCACATGCCAAGGGAATTTATTAGTATGCAGAAAAAAGAAGGATTCATTATTTTTTGTTGTTTGGTTAATAATGCATACATTATTTTCACAATACCTGAATTCTGAGTAATTGTTCTGTCTCTCTGAGACTTAACAGTCCTGACATGATTGACAAATGTAACACAATTTGTGACCTGTTTTATCTTTATGACCATAAGAAAACTCAACATCTCTCCTTCACTCTCAAAATCCTGATTTGGAATGCTGAAACAAGACCACTTTCCTCACAGAAGTGTATTTCCCTCCATAGAAAACAGGTGCTTTGTCAAAATGCAATTTTTGAAGTTCCTTTAAATTCCATTTTCTAATCAGTTCCTGCTCCTCACTTTTCACTCCCAGAGCTTTAGCAACCAAACCTTAAAAAAAAAAAAAAAAAAAAAAAAAAAACCCAAAAACAATCTCACTTGTCTTTAAAACACACATCTCAAAAACTCATTGCAAGACACAATAGCATTTAGGACACTGAGGTAGTTATCAGTGGAGCTGCTGTTTTTTCAAGAAAAGGAAAAAGAAAAACAATATAAAACCTCTCATCATCACCACCTTTTCCAGTAGGACTACGCAATGAAATCCCTGTAAGGAGATGGAAAAATTTCCAGCCACATCCAGAAAACTTCCAGTACTTGAAGGAGGAGGAAAAAGGAGAGCTTGTCAGGACCTGCTATGAATGCAGAGCACTCTTTAGTTTATGAACTAGTTCATATCTGCATAAGAAGTTTACATAAAACCAGATTTCCTTTGCTGAACTGCTCAGACCACATTGATATTCCCCCCGCGCCAACCTCCGCTCTTTGCTTTTCTCCACTAAGTGACTTTAGAAAAAGAGGTGCAGGAGCAGCCAAAATAAACATAACCCTTACCACACACACTGAACAATGATGTACTGGGGGAAAAACCAACAACTTCCCTTGGATCACTTCCCTAGAGTGCCAAACACTGACTGTGACAGACCCTACCTCTGACAAGGGCTTATTCCTACATTTGGTAGAATTTCAAAGTTTAAAGCAGCTTTATGAGGAAAAGTTTTCAAACACTTTGCAAACATCATCCTTTTGCTGTACATCTACTGTGTTTTCAATTTCAGTTTTACTTATTGCAGCAAGATGTTGCTATCTTGTTTCATTTACAGGCACACATATTAGGATGCAATCATCTGCAACATACCTTTAAAAACTGGAAAGGATTGTAACAGCAAAACAACAATAATACCAAGCAGATTGGGAGCTGAAAGTCTTGGGCTTGATATCCAGCTCTTTGGTCAATTCTCATCATTGCAGACAGATTTCCTCTTATCATCCTTCAATTTATGCAGTTTTCTCAGACTTAATATGCTTATATTGGTGATAATATTCGTGTAGAGCTGAAATCTCAGCTCCTGGTTTGTGAGCACATATAAACTGCAAAACGAAAGCTAAAAAACCCAGGTATTCCTGTGATAAAAGAGTTAAAAGCACCCTGAAAATGTTCGGATGACTTCAGCTGAAATAAAAAGAGTGCTCTGTGCTGCTCCAGCTGCTGATGGCTCTGCGGGACTATTTAAATCTTGTATTTTTCACAGCACCAGGATAGTGATCAGAACATGCTTCTCCAGCTCTCTAGATTCACCACTTTGAAATGAAAGTCAAAAATCTACGGGAGGCAGCAATAAAACGAATTATTTTAAATTACCCATTGTTACTGTACCTGGTCGGGGAATAGAGCCAAGCTGTGCAAGAAATGCTGTCACAGGAAACCCTTGCTATTATCATTCAAAAGGAGCCAAAAAGGGACCCAGTGATGTTCTGTGAGTAACTGTCCAGAGAGCAAACCTCGATTTGCAGGGCTGAGGTCATCCAACACCAAGGGGAGAGGATTTCACAGTGCACCTTCAGAACTGCCACTTTTTGTTAGAGAACCCCCCACTTAATAACTGCAGCTGATTACTGCGTTCATTAGCATTTATTCAGAGTCCTGCTCAAAAACACAACCCTGAAAGAAAACTGTTCATGTAGCCTAGCTGGGTACACCTGGTGGCCAAGAAGCAAGAAAGACATTTGAGACTGAAATTGGCTTTCTGGGACACTCCTTTCTCAATTCCCAGTGCTCCAAGCAAGCACACCAGGACCTTTATGCAGGCTCTTGATATTTTCCCATCACCTTTCTCAGCAAAAAAGTAGTAGCTGCTTCTTTTAGGTCTGGTCTGTAAATATTTCATGAGACTACATATATATTGATCTAAAAATCAACATCAGAACACAAGAACAAACCCTAAGGAACACACACTCGGAGCTGATCCAAAGCCCAGATTAATTACAGAGGGAACCTGAACTTGCTGGGAACTGCTTTAAGAAATAATCTGCTTTTAGAAATAATGCAGTTGCTTAATAATATGTTTATATGAAATAAATAAATATAATGAAACCAGTTTTAAAATGTTTAAATTATGTTGATAAACAGCACATAAGGGAGCCCTGAAAAAAACCCAAATTTTTTAGAATGTTTTATTAATAATGCTCATATGACTCCTCTCATTCTTGCTCACTCACTTGTGCCTCTCAAGAACAAGCTGCCTGAACTTGAACTTCTCACTTCAGCCCTCTCCTCTGTGGGCCAGAGGCAAGCATGGATTACAGACACTTAGCAAGCCAGCAAAGCTGCTGCCATCATCTAGCAACACAACACGGTGTAAAATCAATTACAACTCACGTACAACGTCATCAAATTAAAATGTACAGTAATTGCATCTTGTGGGGCTTATATTGTCACGTTCTCCAGCAAACACAGTACTTTGTTCATGGGAAGACTGAAAACAACAACTCGTGTGAAGGGAACGGATCTCGATTCTAAAAGCAAAAAACCCAGCAATGACAGAACAGTAAAAAAACCCAAACCACCACAAAAGTGCGAGGTGCTCCGGGTGAGTTTCAGCCTTTCTGAAGGGCTCTCAGCACTGCCTGAACCAATCTAAGTCTGGCAGCCACAGCCCCATCGTTCAGAGCTTTGCTCTTTTCACCTGTCACACCCCGGCTGCGGGAACGGGGCTCTGAACCATTTCCAGCAGCAGCAAAACAGCCACGGAACGGAACCAAGAGTTAATTTATTCTCTGGGCTTACTGCACTTGGTGCAAAACAGAAACGCTGTGACGGCAGAGTGACCTTATATTTACTGACTGACCAGATGGCGAGAATTAGGGACTTATGTAAGCCCCAAGCCTCCTTCTCCATCTGACAGCTGCTGGGGG